CCCCTTTCCTAAGGCAGCGGTCCCGACCTTTTTGGCACCAGGGACCGGGGCTGCTGTGAGAATCTAGTGCTGAGGATCTGAGGCGGAGCCGAGGCGGTGATGCCAGCTCTGGGGAGCGCCGCAAACACAGACGAAGCTTCGCTCACCAGTCACCTGCTACGTGGCCCGCTCCCTGACGGGGTCGGGGCCCCCTGGCCTAAGGCACCGTTGGCGTCACATATTCGCTTCTGTGTTCTTTCTAATGCAACTCTTTTAAAATGAGTTTTGTTTTCTAGTTCCATTCGAGTTCCGTCACTTCCTTTCTGAGTTTTTGGAAGTCGATCTGTGTGGTGGTTTCGGGTCTCGTATCATGTTCTAAACGCTCGTTTGGTTTTTCTGAGCACCATTTTCAAGCAGTGTCAAGCAGACAGAGCTTTGCTGGTAGAACTCCGGCTCATCCTCCCCAGGCTCATCCTCGCCAGGCTCCCGCTTGCCAGCGCCCTGTCCCATGTCACGAGTCCCCCTCCACGAGGACAGGCGGTCTTGCTCTGCACTCTCCAGGGACGCCCCCTTCCCTGTGTCTCGGCGTGTTTCCTGGGAACAGGGATGTTCTCCTGTGGCCAGTGCAGGACACAGGTGGGCGGTCGCCAACGCTGCGCTCCTGTCTGATGGCGGAGCGCATCTGAGGCTTCCAGCTGCCCTTGTCACCGCCCAGAACCCCGCCAGTGGGACGTCCCGGCCCGGAAACCGAGTGCTGTCCTGCGTCTGCTCTCTGGGGTGTGATCTGTCTGGACAGTGGCTCAGGTGCCATCTTTCACAGCCTGGATATTCTTGATGAGGAGTCGTGATCACGTTGAGTGGCCTGCAACTTGAATGTGTCTGCTGCGTCCTGATGATTCGATGTGGGTTACGCGTTGGGGGCAGGAATACACCAGAAGCGATGTACGCACAGCCCATCATGTTGCAAGGCTCAGCCCTTGTCTGTCGCATTGTTGGTGAAAATAACTTTATCACTGGTTAAGTGGTGGCGTACCTGGTTTTCTGCTGCGTGTAATTCTTGAGTGATGAATTAATGATTACTGTGACGTTTGCAAAATGGTGAGTCTTCTTGTCCCTTCGTGCCTTCCGTTTCTGAGTCGGGATTTCCGTGTGGGGGTGCTCTCTGGCTTGCCAGACTGGCATGGGCACAGTGCTCACGCCTGCAGCTCCGGTCCGGTGCGCCGCCCCGCTTAGCCGGTGCCCTCCCCACGGCTGTAGCCCCGTTCTGGGTGCTGAGAACGCAGCTTCCGTTGGGCTCAGTGTTTTACTTACTTATTCGATCCTCAAATACCCAGACAGTTGTTCAGAATCACTAACCCACCCATTCGAAGTGCAAGTCCACTCACTGGAGTTAGATGTTGGTCCACATCCCTTTTGTCCTGAGCCTGAGAGCACGTAGTCAGAAGACATTATTCACAAGTTTCTCAGGTCATTTCCTCTCGCTTCACTGTGGTTATAGCATTAACTTTAGGCTAATCTGTTTCTGCTTTTCTCCATTCACGTTGATTTTATTACTACTGTGCGTGCGTGCGTGTGTGCGTGCGTGCGTGCGTGCGTGCGTGTGTGTGCGCGCGCGTGCGTGTGTGTGTGTGCGTGTGTGTGCGTGCGTGCGTGTGTGTTGTGCGTGCGCGTGCGGTTCCAGAGGTCTGAGTCGCGGTGTGCTGGAGAGAAGTGTCTTGCTAGTCTCTGGCTCATTCTCTGCTTTCGCAGCTGTGTCTCGTTAACTTTCTTCTTTTGGTTTCTCTTCCCTTGTTTTTTTTACGCTCTCCTTTCCCGCACTTTGCACGTTCTTGTTTGTCCTTCCCTGTTTGCCGCCTCGTGTGTTCTGGGAATGCCTCCCTGGAGAGACGTCCTGTTCTTTCTCCAGCTGCCGGCCTCCCTCCTCTGGGTCCCCTGTGTATCCCACTGTTTTTATGGCGTTTGGGTTGTTTCCAGAATTTTGCAACCACAAACAATGCGGTAATGAGTAACCTAGGGTGTGCGTACTTGCGTCATGCTTGAGGTATTTCTTCAGGGTGAATTCCCAGAAGTGGGGCTGTGGGTCAGCAGGTGAGCGCGTGTCGGCTGCCGTTAGTAGTGCGGACGCCTTGTCGTGGCAGCAGGGAGCCAGTGTGCGTGCCCGCCAGTAGTGGGCGCCAGTGTCTGTCTTGGCGGCCGTGCCACCGGAACGTCATGCCAGGCTCTTTAATTCTTGCTGCTTTGACAGACGAGAAATGGATCTGTGTGTAATTCTGATTTGCTTTTCTCGTACAAGTGAAACTGAACCTCTTCAGTCGTGTGAGGGCCTTTTCTTTTGATAAGAGCCATCCTGATGAGTGCGAAGTAGATGTTTTCACCTAGTGTCCTTTTCTGTCCCAGGACACCAGTCGTCACCTCTTGTCGCCTGCTCTAGTCTATGACAGTTTCTCGGACCTCCTTGTTTTTGAGAACCGTGACGGGTTGGAGGGGGAGTGGTTAGTTGTTTGTAGACCGTCCCTGAATTGGGGTTTGTCTGATGCTTTCCTTATAGAGTTCCTGGGGTTGTGGGATTCAGGAAGAGCACAGATGCAAGGTGCCCTTTTCGTCAC